AAACTCTTCCCTCGGCGCTGTTCCGTTTCACATGTGCCATCCTGGTTTTTCTAGCACAAGAAAATGTAATGTGTTAAGTCAGGAAGCAGTGAATTTAGAGGGTGATTAATTTTTGGTAAGGCTTTTTGGTAGATACATTTCCTACCAGTGCCTCAATAAAATGTAAAGGTGGAGTCTTTCCAGTGACGTCAGACGGAGTAATATCAGGCCCCAAATGGGACAGGATGGGTTGGAATAACATTCTGGTGGCCTCAGTAAAAATTTTCATTACAGACAAATACTGAGTTTTTATCCCTCCTGTTTGGGAACAAAACCTCCTAAATGGGACCCAACCCAGCTCTGTGCAGGGATTAAAAAAAAGCACTCAGGAAGCAGCTGTGAACTGCAGGGTTGGTGACAGGGGGGTCATTGTCCCCTGTCAGCCCCGTGCCACAGCAGGAGGGAAGGAGGGCCCTGGCCTCACCCAGGGAGAAAGGAGGGAGTGGGTGGGCTGAGAGGGGGCTCTCAGGGAGGGGAGGGAGGTCATTTTGGAGGTGGAATATTGTTTGAGGCAGGTTATCAGCACTTCACAAATGGGATGGAGCCTCAGAGGGAAAAGGCTTCTGACATTCCCAGTAAAGATGAGCGCTTGTCTATCAAAGGCTTAATTCACACCGTCCTGTACACTTCAAATCAGACCTGAAACGTAGCTGTGCAGACCTCTCCAGGCAAAAGAGCCCTCAGCCAAAGCTGCTGAGCATCCGTGTCCCCGTGGCATCGCTCTCTGTCGTAGCAGAGATCTTGTTCTAATTGTTGGGGAGAAAACTCAAGTTTCTGGTACCAAACAGTTAAAAAAAATAAACTTAAATTAAGAGGTTAGTCACCAGAAAGTGGAAACCATGTCTGGAATTGTTAGAAATAAGGCTTGCTTGAAAATAAATATAGAATTATTCACCATGGTAACTATTGCCCTATTGCGTTAGTGTGTATCGATTTAACATTAATCCAAAGACTAATGCTGTGAAATATTTGGACTCTTTAATGGACAACTGTTTAGTTAACAAAGCTTTGGGGAGATGTGGAGCTTTTTTGTTTTGTTTTTCCTTGGATTGTCTCAACCACTTTTGGAAGAATACGATTTGACTCTTAGAGTTACTTTTTTCTCACGTGGATCTTGCTTTCCCATCACATTTTATGAATTTACCCTTAGTGCTGCTGATTTAACTAGTGATGAAGTGTTGCAGTGAGGAATAAAAGGGAAGATTTAAATGTGACTGCACAGGCAAATGCCTGACTTTTGGTCTGGCGATGAGAAAAATTAGGTTGCAGTCCCAAACTGACGTGCCCATGTCCTTCAGTGTGTCCAAGGACCTCAGAGGACATTGGAGCTCCTGTGTGTCCCTTTCCATGGCTGAAGAGCCTGAGGTCCAGGGCTCGCCCAGAAGTTTTATGGGAAATCCAGGAAGCAAAGGGAGATCTCGCAGTGCCAGACTCATCCTGGAGCCATCAGAGAGGTCTCCGGGAAGGACATAAAAAGAACTGGAAAAAAGCTGATCAGTGACACAATGCAGGAGCCAAAATCAACAACAGTGTACTCTGGAAGTGTCCCACCGACCAGTATTTGCTGCTGGTACAAAAGAGACGGACAAACAGGGTGGGCTGGAGGGTGGATGGTGTCATTACAAAGAACAGGGTGAAGCGTTTAGCTTAGCTGATGTACTTTTAATTTTTACAAGCCCATCTGGGATGACTTTAATTATTTGTTCTTAAATCATGGTGGAAAAATGCTGATTGTTCTTAAAGCCACACGAGTAGTTCAGATGAAATGGGGATGGTGGTAAACATAACATTTTTAAACCAGCATCGACTTGCAAACACTTATTTTTTTTCTTTATTTTTAAAGAAGGTTGGAAAGATGTGTGAACTTGCAGCAGCCTGCATCTGAAACTGGAGCCTTTATCCCTGAGCCTGTGGGTGATACCATGCCCAGCTGGGAAAGGCAGAGCTGTGCTTGTTGCAGCAGAGATTGTGGAGAAGGGCCCTGTAACCCACCACTCAAGGACCTGACCTGCCACAGAGGAATAATACATTACTTAGAGCTGCATTTACTTGCTTGAGACCGTTTTGTAGTGTTCACCTTGACTTCTTTCCGGCAGTGCTACGTGTTTTAAGTGCAAAGGGTGTTAGTTGCAACTTGCTGGGCTCAGCTGAGCTTGATCTGCCTCTCCTGGCCAGTCAAGCAAGGTCTGTTGGAGAAGGGTCTCTAATATTTAATCGTCAAGTGTTTGAAAAATAATATAAAAATATATTTCCAGTTAAATAATAACAAAAGTGAGTGGACTGATAAAGCATATCTGAACTGGCATTTATCTTCAGAGTTTTGTCTCCGTGTGTGTGCCTGGCTTTAACTTTCTTGCTGGGGCTGGTGGGCTCCCACCCGAGGGCCACGTTCCTGCAACAGGGGTGATGTTGCTCCACATTTTCATGAAGCATTTTTTAAAGTTTGACTGCCACAAAAGAAATGTGAGCCCCCAGGACCAACCTGAAGACAAAAAGCAGGTAAAGGAGTACCCCTCCTATGTAATACCAGTGAGGAAACTAAGGCAGAGAACAAAATATAAAAATAGGATTGGAATTCCCTTATCTCTAGTTCCAGTGTAGATTTTTTTCAAGTAATTGTCCCTCCTCTCCCTGCACACTAATCCCCCCCCTCCAGGGCCACCCCGGTGCCTCCCCCCACCTTTGGGAATAGCACTCCTTGGATAATTCACTTCTGGGAAGCACCAACTTCTTAAAGTTTGTTTCTATCCGAGCTGCACGATCCTCTTCAGTGTTTCCTTTGGATTACTAATTGTTGGGAGTTACCATCTGTCAAGTGGCAAGGAGTAAACGATTAAACAACCTGGAAATTCCTCCTTCCTCCTCTCCAGGCATTTTCACAGCACCGGATGGGGCCACAGGAGTAAAAGCACAAGCAGGTATTTAACATTAGTTTGTAAGTAGTCATGTAGAAATAAATTCCATTTTTTGGGGTGGAAATAAAGGTTAAACCTTACCAGTGAGTGCCACCATGCCTGACCCGACTCTCAACACCATCCATCTTGCCTCAGCTTTGTAGGAATAGGATTTCTGCAGGTCAGTTGCTCGTCCCTGTCTCGGCTCATCTTCCCAGCAGCATCTCTGGGGAGCTCAGGCCCAGCTGGGGGCTCTTCAGATACTCCCAAATCCTAAATCAGAGCTATCAACAATTATGGGAAAATATGCTTTCTTAGAAGATAACTGAAGCTGCCTTTATCTCTCAGTAACAGGATTCACCAAGTATTATAGCAGCTACTTTGCACTGCTGCAGTTAAGCTTGTTTCAGCATTTTCATTATAAACCTCTGTTTTCACAGGTTTATTTCCCTGGGAAAAAAAATAATATAAAATCTGTCTTTACTAAAGCTTGGCACACTGAGCCCTCAGGGAAAGATGATGTTTTTTCTTTTTACCTGTCTATGGAGTGAATGGGGTCACTCCATTTTAAAGCATATGGTTTGAAACAAAGTGGGAATGTCTTTGTCTGGAATGGTTTCCAAGCAGAAAGCAGCATCACTGGCATTAACATGGAAGATAATTAACAAGTTCAGCCGTGGCCCAGGTTTTCCCTCCACATTTCTTTTCCAGTCTCTTTCTTTTTTTCTGTCTGATATGCCATGCTGGGGACTGGCTGTGTGAGGTGAGGCTGAAGCCTTGTGGCTCGGGGCTGTGGGGCTGTAGCAGGGTGGGGTGAGCTTGGCTCACGGCTGGTTTTCCTGCAGGATGCCTAAATCCCGGTGCTTTGGGGGCTGATGTGCAAAATCTCTGCCAGGGGCCAGTGGAGGCCAGCAATGGTGGGTGACACCAGACCCACCTGGGGTGGGCTTTGAAAAGGGTGGGCTCAGCAGTGTGGGTGGTGTATTAAAGATCCACAGTAGGTGGGTGCAGGAGCATGAGTGCAACTGTAGCATCTCTCTACAAGGAAAGGCGGAGGGAGCTGGGCCTGTTCAGCTTCCAGAAGACACACTGAGAGGGCACCCTCTCCACGTCTGTCAGTGCCTGCAGGGAGGGGTCAGAGCACGGACCAGGCTCTGCTCGGGGGGCCCAGCAACGGGACAACAGGCCACGGCCACTGATGCCCAGGAAGCTCCACCTGAACATGAGGAACAACTTTTTCCCTGTGCAGTGACCGAGCACTGAACAGAGACCAGGGAGGGTGTGGAGTCTCCTCCTTGGAGATATTCCAGAGCCGTCTGGACACAATCCTGTGCCGTGTGCTCTGGGATGACCCTGCTGGAGCAGGGAGGTTGGACCAGGTGCCCCACTGCGGTCCCTTCCAGCCTGACCCACGCTGTGATTCCGTGGTTTCGTGAGCCCCGCGCCCCCTTTGGGCGAGTCCCGGGGGTCCCGCACGGGGCGCGGGGCGCGCTCCCCCCGCCCCTGGTCCCGGCGGCGGCGCCGGCAAGGGAAGGGAAGGAGAGCAGGGAAGCAGGGAAGGGAAGGAGGGAAGGGCAGTCCCCGTCTGGCGCTGACGTCACGGTCCCGCCCGCGGCGGCGGCGCGGCCGCGTCCCCGTGGCCGTGAATGAGCGCGGGGGGCGGGAGCGGAGCGGGAGCGGGCGGGCCGCGCTCCCACCGCGCCGCGCCCCACAAAAGTGCGGGGCTGCCGCTCCGGGCCCAGCGCAGCCGCCTCCCGGGCCGGAGGGGCGCGGAGCAGCCGCGGGGCCGAGCGGAGCCGCTGCCGGGGCCGCTGCGCCGCGCCGGGGTTTTTTATTTCCAATTTCTGATCGCAGCTGCATTTCCCTCCCTCCGCCCCCCCGCGCCGAGGAGGAGCCCCGGCTTTATGTGGTGCTGCCCGGGGAGCGCTCGGCGGCCGGGAAGTTCTTTGTGTCGCCGTCGCCTTCTTCCCCCCCCCCCCCCCCTTTTTTTTTTTTTTTTTTTTTTTTTTTTTTTTTTTTTTTTTTTTTTTTTTTTTTTTTTTTTTTTTTTTTTTTTTTTTTTTTTTTTTTTTTTTTTTTTTTTTTTTGTTTAAATGTATAACTTCATGGGGCTGAACAGCACGGCCGTAGCTATTCAGCCCAATGTGTCCTGCACATGCAACTGCAAAAGGTCTTTGTTCCAGAGCATGGAGATCAGTAAGTACTAGTCCTGCTGCTCCCCGGGGTGGGTGCGGGAGGTGCCCGTGGGTGCGGGAGCGCCCGGCGGCCCCGCCGCGGGCGGGGAAGTTTCCGCGGGGGCTCCCGGCGGCGCCGGGACCCTTCGCTGCGATGCGCTTTCTCGGAGTGATTTTCCTTCCCCCTCCGTGTGAGCCCTGGTCTCTCATCTGTTGCTGCTGGGATGTTGGTGCGGGTGTGACACGGCGCGGGCCGGGCTGGCGGAGCTCCCTGGGATCAGCTTTCCCGGGATCTGCCTCCACTGGGCGCTCCTCGGCACCGGGTGTGTGAGATCCGCGCTCTTCCCCATCGCGGCACCATCACCGCCCGCATCTCGCCCCTTCCCCGCCGTGCCCCGGCGGGCGCAGCCGCCCCTACCCCGCGCCTTTCCCTCCTGCGGGGTGATGCTGCGGGGCCCCCGAGCCTCCCCCGGGGGTCTGCGCAACCCCCGGGGTAAATCACCCTCCACTCGGTACCGGGCGGGGGAGCATCGCGGTCCGGACACCCGGAGAGGGCATGTATTTGGGAACCTGTTCCCCCCGTCTCCAGCCCCTCGGGGCTTTTTGTTCCGAAGGGCGATTTGCCTTTTTTCTTTAATATCTTTCAGCCCTCGCAGAGTAGCAGTGAGGCCACTGCCTGACCTAAATATCCACCACTTCTCTGTGTGCTCTTTCCCTCTTGGAAATGAAGTGCACAGAGGTGAGAGGGAAGGAATATTGCTGCTGAGGAAAGAGGAATCAGTTGGGCTCTGGCAGTTTCAAGCAAATGGTATTTTCTGTAAAGGGAAGATTTTTTAGGAATCCTGGCCCGGGAGGGTAGTCAGGATTGTACCCTGCTTAGCTCCTAGTTCAGTGCCGTGAAATCCAAACCCTGCACAGACTAATGCAAAATGGCCCAAAAGGAAAACTTGGGAAAGAGTCTGGATTTTGCATATATTCCTGGCACTGCGACGGGGCAGGCTGGCGCTCGGTGTGTGCAGGGGGAGCCAGCTGAGCTGTGCCTGTCTCTGCTAGCACAGGATCTTCCCCGTTACCTCCAGCGGGGCTGCAGAGCATCTGTCCCTTGGTATTTTGGATGGCTTTTGTCCAGTGTCATCTGCCTTCTCCTTCTCCAGTTTCATCGTTGTTTAATTCAGGTGTCTGAGTCCCAGGGAAGGTCTGCAGGCATTTGTATACCGGGTACTCAAATGTGTTCATTCTGAATTTTAGCATAAACCATACCCTTTGTACTGTATGCACTTTTAATCTTGATTTAATCTCATTCGTGTTCAGACAAAACTAAGCTGGATTTGCCTGATTTTATTAACACTACCGGTACTGAATAGACCATTATTCTTCCCTGACTTTAACAGGCCGGGCTAGATATGCATACCAATAGCAGTGTATAAATAATGAAGATACAGTTCTTTTTTGTGTCAGCCAGTTGCTGAACATAAACTGTCCCACAGAATCCCAAGGATGAGAGACTTTACTTTGTGTCTGATCAAGGCTCATGGTTATGATAAAAGTTGTGAATTAAAATGTGTAATGTCTTTTGAAGAAAAAGCTTCTCTTCCAGTCTAACTCTTGGCATGAGGTTTTGTTGGAACAACTCAGGCTTTTAATTTCATTCCATGACTTTTTAGAAGCAGCATAGTTTATAATTTTTTTCCCATTTTTTTTCAGTGTATGAAAGGCTTGGTAGGAGACAGGTGCCAGCTATGCATGGGGGGGTGGGAGAGGCTGGGGACAGTGAAGAAGAGTGGAGGAGACCTTGCCTGAATTTGGATGGGTGTTGTGGGAGCCCCATGCCTGATGCCACACAGCTCCTGAGGTCCTTCCCTGACTTGTCCCCTGCCCTCTGTCAGCTCTGGGGTCCTGACACTCAGGCGCTGAGTTCCCATTAGCTCCTGGGAGCCTTGGACAGAGCTCCCTTGCTGCTGCCCGTCCTTATTTCATGCTCGTGTAGGTTTCTTTATCGTCAATGTTATTATTTATTTCCTGCTGATGGCGGGCAGTGTTCACTCACCTCCGTGTTCCAGGAGAGCTTTGGTTGCACTGCAGGGGCTGTTACCTGATCGCTTCTTCCACCTGGCTTCGGTGGGAAGGACAGAGTTGAGCTTCCCTGAGATAAATTCATCCCATGGCATTTTTCTTCCTCCCGTCTCTTGATTTTATGTATCTTTCTAATAAAACTTCGAGTGATCCTCGGAGCAGCCACCACCAGATGCTCTTTAATTTCTCAGCCAAAAGTTACCAAGGCACCAACGCTTCAGGGAAAGCGGCATAACTGCAAACTCCTCTAAGTTAACCCTCTAAATAGGTTAACTGTCCAGCCGATCCCCCCGAACATTTCCTTGCGGGCTCCATTCCGTATGGCAGGCTGCGGCGCTGCGGTGGAGGAAGCAGCTGGTTTCTGTGTGTGGCGCTCCCAGATTAGGATTATAAAAGGGTTTTTTGGGGGCGGGGGCGCGGAGTCTCGCCGGGCTGGAGTGCCAGTGTGCCGGGCGGTGTTAAGCAGCCAGACGTCTGCGGCAGTGGGCTCTAATCGCGCCGGCTGCCGAAGGAGGTCAGGGGTGACCGTGGTGGTGGAAGAGTCTGTAAATAACTAATTATTTTGGCAGAGTGGGGTGCTGTGCCTGCCTCCCCGCTGCCTTCCCTGCTCCTCACCGGGACAGCTCCCCCGAGGGTTTGGGTGCCAAGACCGGGTATCCCATGGGCACCTGGGCATCCCTGCGGGAGGGTGACTGCGGGCACGGGTGTGAGGGCAGCTTGCTCAGGGCTGGGTGGCTCTGGGCAGAGGCTTTGCTGGTGCAGGAACAATATCCAAAGCCTTTGGCATTGTTGCACCTCTGTCCCCTCGGCCGCAGTGCCCTGGGCTGGTGGCAACACCGTGTCTGGCCGGTGACGCCAACTGTGAGAGCAGGTTTCTGTCCAGGCAAGGGCTTCTAGGTTTTCACATTCTTTGGTTTAATAACAAACCAAATGCAGATGGCTCAAACCTTGGTTCATGTCTCCTTTCCGCTTCAGACTGCTTTTTTGGCAAATATGTTTCTTTTCTGACACTATGTCAATGGCAGTTATGGCTTCTTCCAGGGCAGAGTGGATAATAACCACGTACTTCTTTATTCCCCCTCCCAAAGTGTTCCTCATAGAAGGAAGCCAGAGATACTACCATAGTTTCAGCAAGCCTTAAAGGGCTGGCACAGAGGATGCTCAGTTTGTGGCATCTCAGTTTGACCTCAGCCAAACCAGGGAGTTCCCTGTGTCTGGCTCTGGCCATGTGTCCGTGACAAAGTGCTGCTTTTTGCTGAGATCAGCGTCCCAAGGTACGATCCAGGAGGAGCAAAGCATGGATGGCTTTGCTTATGGTGGCCTAAGAGCTGTCTGTGTATGCCCTTGGCCATCCCTGGGGACCCAGACACGCTGAAGTTCCAGCCCTGCAGGTCTCGCCTCTCATAGCCAGGGAAAGGCCTGGAGAGCACAGAGGTCTTTCTTAAAATTAGTTTTGTGCCCTCAGTTGGTGATTTTAATTTTAGTGTTTTGTAATCAGTGTTGAATGGGGGAATGAAAAGACACAGAAGCGGAAATGCAGGGAAAATAGTCAAACTTTGCTTTTTTTTTCCTGTGGGTGAACACCTGGATTGTGCTGAGCTGCACAGCAGGACCGGCACACACGGCACCAGAGGTGATCCTGTATAATCAGAGGTGATCATCTATAATGCAAAGTGGAGACAAGACATGGCTAATTCTTCCTTTTCAGTCAGTATCAGGGTGTTTTCAGAGGAGGATGTTTGCTGCACTAAGTCCTGTTACCTTCTGCCATGGAGGCATCCTCCACCCCCCCAAAGAGCCTTAGATATGCCTTTGTTTTGTTTAGTAGTATGTTTTCAGATCTGAGTTGTGAGAGGACCAGCACTGAAGTGTGTGTTGGGAACAGCAACCTTATTTTTAAAGCCAGGAATTCCCAAGGTAGGGCCTGGGATCACCTCTGAATTTTCAAGATGTTGAATTAGCTGAACTACCGCTGCTTTCCCTTGCGGATGGAACCCACACGTGTGTGTCCTTACTTTTATTTGCTGTTGCTCACCAAATGTACTAATATTTTTAGATTTCCCAGGCTGAAGGTGGTGGTTTGATAAATCCAGCTTTAAAATGAATTTGTAAACCTAAATTAGAAACGGATAGACGTGAGGAGACCTTTCCAAGGGAAGTACCAAAATACATGGTGTCACTAATAGACAGTAATTACAATCCAGCTTCTTTCCTGAGTAACTCATTGTGCAGTCATGTCTGTCGGTGTTGTAGCAACCGTCAGAGTTTGCTAAGCCCAAGTAGTGAAAAAAAAAAAAGGTAATTTATTTGCAATGGTGTTTTCGTGTAAAAACTGCCTGCCAGTTTTCTTCCTGGAGGGAGATCCCATGTGTGGTTTATCTTATCAGATCCCTCCCATTCTCCAATACACGGTGCATCTGCTGTTGGCACGTTTCATCAAAGTAATAAAGCCTGGCTGGAGAGCTCACGAGGAGAGAGGTACAAGGGCCACTTTGCTGCAATTAAGTGGAAACTTGGTTCACACCACGAGCACACTCGCAGACGTCCATAAAGCACAGGAATCATTGATGTCAATGGGCATGTTTTATGCAGTGTTCTTCCTGTCTGTCTGGCTGAATTGCTGGGTGATTATTTTATAACTATTTTGGGTGGCAGAAGGTAGGTCACTCGGGCAGATCCCAGGTGAGGAAGCACATCAGAGACCTGCTCCGTCTGTGAGCGGCGCGGCCGCATCCGGCACCAGAGAGGAACGGGGAGGATTTCAGCACAGGGCTCCCCTCTGGGACAGCAGGATGTGACCTCTCATCTCCATCTTTCAGAGCTGATTAGTGGGCTGCTGTGTTGCTGCTTCCTTGCTGCAGGGAATGTAGTAGTGGTCTGGGAGTTCCTCGAGGAGTAATGAGTCAGGAATAGCCACCTGAGTGTCATCACCTGAAACCCTGCACACAC